TTTTTTTTTTTTTTTTTTTTTTTTTTTGTAATAAAGACCAGACAAATAAATCGTCACTGAATATTTACTTGGAGTCTGAAATATCTTGAGGCTAACTTCTTTTTAATTCTGCAGGCAGCTGAATGCAAGGGCTGACCAAAGATAAAAAGCAAGCCCTAGAGCTTCTCCCCTCCATTATTTATCTTGCTAAGCTTGCTTTCTAGCAGATGTTTCTCCTTTAAATCATGGCAATACGTGGCATACAAGAAAATCTGAGGTTGTTTCAAGACATTTTAACAACAGGAGATGTTCCAAACCAGGATTGCTAGAGGTGTCCCTGCCTGCACTCAGACTTGAACCATGGAGTGATGTTCTCAACCACTGATGCTGTATGCCTTCCCTAAAGGAGAAAAACAGTGAGGCGGGGTTGTTGCAGGGGGTGAAAGTCCTGATCTCGTGGTTGGGATTGTGTTCATCTCTGGCATCTCCAGGGGATGAACCTGTAATCAACTTTCCAAAACCAATCAAAGTCACAGTGGACCGGCTCCCTCTGTGTGGCATTGGACTAACAAAGGCAGCGGAAGAGCAATCTTCAGGTTTTCCAGATTCCCCTCAGGGTGTGCTATGAAGTATTTAGGAACGGTTATAAAGACGTGTTTATTTTGTTCCTGTGTGCTCAGGGATGCACAAAATGAGCCTGCCTGCAGGCGCAGCGTAGGAGGGCAGAGCTGAGGGAAGGCCTCTCTTCTGCTGACTGCTGCTGACTGAAACGGGAAGGGGCAGTGAGCTCAGGAGCACGCTGTGCTCACATCACAGCACGGTGCATCATGCTGGCCCTGCTCACCCATCTGCCTCCACAGCAGCGTCACATGATGGGCACACTCCTATCCCTGGAAATGCAGATGTAGGACACGAGGAAGTGCTGATCTGGGCTCTTTTTGTGTCTCTTCACTCCAGCAATGATGATAAAACCATGCATATTGCAGTGCAAACTTAAAGGCGACTACTGCACACTCGATGGATTTCAGGCAGTCCTGTGCCATTCCTACCAGCTCTCAGTGACTTGTGCTTGTGCTTCAAGGGGCTCACAATGCAGATGATAACATCCACATTCCTCACTTCAGACAAGAAAAAGGTTTCTCCTTCTACTAAACTGAGAGAAAGGGGAACAAGAGGCTTGCTCTGTTACTAGAAAGGCAGTGCTTATCACAGCTTCAAAATTGGAAGCTGTATGTGAGGTTAAAATTATCAGAAGGAGCAGTTGCAGTGTGCACTTGCTGTGCTTCGGATCTCATCTGTGTGCAAAATGCAGGTGAAATGAGCACTTTCCACAGGAGGGATCTCACATCCTCCCTCGCATCGCTGGCTCCAGTTCTGGGATCAACCTGGGCTAGCAGATAGCCCAGCCAGCAGGGCAGCACCCCAACAGGGGGGAACCATTGCTGGATGGGAGTGTGAGAGCAGAGCCCTGCAGGGAGGCCATGAGGGTGCACGGAAGTCTGCAGATGCGCTCTATCACACTCTTCAAACCCAGCCCTCAGCAGATCAGGTTTCTTCTGAGCAGTAGAGCAGAAGTCTCCTCCGCGCTCTCCCTCCTGCTGTTGGCATTATCTATGGGGAAGCCTGCATAAATACACAAGGCAAAGTCTTGCTGACAGCTTTCAGATTCTTACGAAACGCTTATGATGGGCTGCAGCACTCACCAAACAGCTTTGCAAGGCCAACCTCAAGCCAATAAACCCCTCCTCTGCCGGCACCCCCACACAAAGCCCCCAGAAGCACAACCCGAGGAGGAGAAGCTGCAATGCAGGCACAGCCCCGAGTGGAAGCCCGTAGCAGCAGGGCAGTTCCACTTCCCCATCTCGGGGCCACGCTACTCTGACACCACCAGGGCCACTTCCTGGTGGGTTTGTGACACCAGGCAGGCCGTGGGAAGGCAGACGTGCAGCCGGGAGGGGCTGGGAGAGGGAGGCAGACACCGCAGGGAAGGCTGGGCGCACCGCGTCCATCATGTCGCTGGTGGAGACCATCCGGCTGTGGCAGGAGGGGGTGTGTGCTGCGGATGGCAAGGAGTGGCACGCAGCCCTGAAGGCCTTCACCGCCATCCAGAACCCACCGGCCAAAATCTGCTTCAACATCGGCTGCACCCACCTGGTCCTGGGGCAGCTGGCCGAGGCAGAGGAGGTAAGGCACAGCTCCCAATGCTGTGGGGACATGTCGCCCAGTTCTCCTTGCAGATGTTCCCTTCTCGCTCCTCTTGCCCCGTTCCCTGCAGGCGCTCACCCAGAGCATCAGCTGTGACAAGCACCTGGCCGTGGCCTACTTCCAGCGGGGAAACGTCTTCTACAAGAGACACAAGTGAGTGCATGGCTTTGGTTTTACCCCCCCCCCCCCCCCCATCCGGTGGGTGGCGGTTGGCTGAGCAGCCGTGGGCAGTGTGGGGGGACGAGGACTCAGCCCTGAGGTGAAGTGCTTACGTGGGCTACCAGAACACCGTCACGAGGAGGTGGAGGGGCCTTGGGAGCCTCTACCTCGTCCTCTCCTCCCCAGCTATGAAATGGCCATGAAGGATTTCAAGGAGGCTCTGGCCCAGCTGCGAGGCAACCAGCTCATTGACTACAAGATCCTGGGGCTGCGCTACAGGCTCTTCGCTTGTGAGGTGATGGAAACCAAACGGTGTTTCAGTCTCGGTCAACAAAATCCAGGGAAAATGCACACAATGGTTTTTCACTGGACTCTTCATGTCCAGAGAATGGCATGGAGCTGCTTGGGGTGTGGAGCACAGCGCGATGGGGAGCAGCTGAGGGAATGGGACGGGGCAGAGTGGAGAAGAGGAGCTCAGGGGAGACTTCACTGCTCTGCAACTGCCTGAAAGGAGGCTGTGGTGAGGTGGGGTCGGCCTCTGCTCCCATGTAACTGCAATTGGATGAGAGGGAATGGCCTTGAGTTGTGCCAGGGGATGTTCAGGTTAGATATTAGGAACATTTCTCCTCTGAAAGAGTGGTGATGCAGTGGCACAGGCTGCCCAGGGAGGTGTTGGAGTCACCATTCCTGAAGGTGTCCAAGATGTGGCACTGAGGGACGTGGTTAGTGAGCATGATGGGGATGGACTTTGTGAACTGAGATGTCTTTTCCAACCTGAAGGATTCTACGATTCATGCCTTGCAAAAAAATCAAGCATTCTAGAGTAGGAATAGAGAGCTGGTGTTACCCAAGATGTCATCAGGGTAGCAAAAAACACCCGCAGCAAGGGTCTAGTGCCTCTAAAAGACCATTCTCTGGCTCCCATCCCTCTGCAGATCCTTTACAACATCGCACTGGTGTATGCCAGCACGGAGGACTGGAAGAAAGCTGAGGAGCACCTGACACTGGCAATGAGCTCAAAGAGTGAGCACCAGCACAACAAGATTGACAGGGCAATGGAAGCCATCTTGGTGAGGAGCAGCAGGTCTCAGCTCAGTGCCTGCCTATGGAGGTCCATGACTAGATGATCTTAAAAGGCTTTTCCAACCTTAATGGTTCTTTGATTTCTCCCTGCTACAGAAGCAGAAGCTCTATGAGCCAGTGGCAATTCCCACAGGGAAGCTGTTTCGACCAAATGAAAAGCAAGTTGCTCAGCTGGAGAAGAAGGACTACCTGGGAAAAGCCATGGTAAGAAAGGAGCATTAATGCAAGCCACGTCTGCAGGCTGAAGAGAGATGCCGATTGCCCTCTCTGCCTTACAGCCACCAAGAACTGAGCTGTGCTTGCTGAGCACAGAGATGCAAAGCCAGCCCAAACCTTGGGGATGCTGCAGGCACCAGGACTATGTAGGAATAGCAGAGTTAAGCTCACAGAAACACCCTTTTATCTGTGTGGCTCAGCATGGCCCATTTTCACTTTCCTTAATGAGAAGTGAGGGATGGTCACTCAGTGGTGAGATGGGAAGGTCCCACTGGAGCTTCAAACCAAGCCAAGATATTTGGTGCACAAGGGAAGAAAAAAAAAAAAAAGGAATTTATTTAAAATCTGACACCCGCAAGTAACCTCCAGTACTGGCTCTGCTCAGCCTGAAGCAGCTCAGACAATTGAGCAGGGCTTCTCCCACATTACTGTGGAAGGTCCAAGCACGGGGGTGCACCCTCAAGCTCAGGCACTGGGAGGCAGAATGGACACCCCAGTGCCAGCGCTGCCAGGGAAAGCAAACCCAGAGCACCCATACCCAAAGAGGTTGACTTGGATGGAAGCAAAGGAGGACAGTGGATGTCAGAGATCAGAGGTCTAAGAGGATCACCAAGTCACAGCATGTCTTCCTTTGGCTGTAGGTGGTGGCATCCGTGGTGGACAAGGACAGTTTTTCAGGATTTGCTCCCCTCCAACCGCAGGTAAGGAATCAGTGCCCTGCAGTCCATGTGGTGCAGAGAGCTTCAAGCATACACAGGGATACCAAGCAGAACTTTGGGCATACTTGGGGGTGGGGGACATCTGGATGAGAATGGTGAGCAATAAGCAGCGTCACCACCCCAAACTTCCTACCACGGCCAGGGTGAGGAGGAAGCTACTCCCACATCCCAGCTGCTTCCTTCACCAGAGGTCACAGCCCAAGCCCACTCATATCTGAGCTGAGGTTATGGGGAAGCCAGGCCCTGAGCCATGGGTGGGCCTTTGGGAGCTCGGGGAGGTGACAAACCCTCCCGTAAGATTCATAAGGGCTGAGTGGAGAAGGAAACTAATGACCTGATACCAGTGTGAGAAGGAGGGACCCACGCAGGGAGGACAACAGGCACGGGAAAGGACTGCAGGACGTTTCTGCAAAGCAACCCAAATCCTCCAGATTATGACGGATTTCCTTCTGTCTTCTTGTTCACAGGCTTCTGGGCCTCCCCCCAGGCCCAAGACACCAGAAATCCTCAGGTAGGTCGGATGAAACATCGGCAGCATTGCTAACAAACAGCCTGGTGCAGCAGCCATGTCCTGCACCATCCAGCTGAGTGAGTGTTCAGAATCAGTGGGAGAGAGGAGGAGAGAAATGAGGGAGCAGAGCTTAGGCCCCCTGTGAGGTAAAGCAGCGGCATCACCTCCCCTCCTGACATGATGCTGGCTTCCATTCCAGGGCTCTTGAAGGGCAGCCGCACCGCGTCCTGTATGAGTTCATACCTGAAACTGCTGAGGAGCTGCAGGTCCTGCCTGGAAACATCGTCTTTGTCCTGAAGAAAGAGAAGGACAACTGGGCTACGGTGATGTTTAACGGAAAGGTATGGGGGTCTGCTGGCACAAAGGGACTACAGAGGACTGGTAGGGCAATAATGGGGTTTCTGAACCCAGTTTCCTTGCATCCTGTATTGAAGTCTGAGGGCAGATGGCTATAGGCTGGTAGAAGGAACCTCCTGGTGTCCTGCTCCTGTTGCTCCTACCAGGCAGGGGCCAGATGTGCTGCTTTGCTTGCCTGACCACGTGTTCCCAAGCTGCCCATCATAAGTACCACACAGAAATCATTCCCTTATCTTCAGTCTCCTGGATGGTCAAGTAATCATCTCAAGATGATTCAAGGCTATTCACAGGGCTGAAACTAGACGACCTTTTCACCCCAGGCAGCCACTAACCCCTGAGTCCCAACAATGCTCCTCCCTTGTCTCTTCCCTGCAGAAAGGGATTGTCCCCTGCAACTTCCTTGAGCCCATGGAGCTCCAGCACAAGCTGCACGTCCAGGTAAGGAGCCCAGGAGAAGCTGGTGGCCCCAGGACATCACATAGATCACCCAGCAGGACCCATGCCTCAAACCTTTCTTCCTTTCAATGCTGGGGGACTCCTGGTTTTATGGCCATTTCAGCACAAGCTCAGAGCCTGCAAAATCTGTGCAGATGCCGTGCTGATGATCCCTGGGGAGGGAGGTGGTAGCCCTGGGGAGGTGAAGGGGCAGTGAATTCACCCTGCAATTCACTGATTCAAAACTCCAAACACACCTTGAGAAAACAGGTCTGGACATACTCATCAGACACTGCTTCCTAAACAGCACTGTCTTCTGAAAAACTGTCCTTGTTTGCTCTCACAGAGACCAGAACTGCCCTGTTCCACCCCGAATCAATGGACAGTAGGCAGAACTCAGCCCCAGGACTCCTGCCTCGAATGGCAGGAGGGGGTCCCCAAGGCAGCAGCACCCCGGGGACTGTACATGCTCCCCTAGGGATGCTGAGTGCCAGTGCTGCCCTTTTCCTATCGGCACAGGATGAAGCCCCACCTGAGCTTGACATCCCTGAGCCACCCAGCAGCGCTGCTCCAAAGCCCCGGCGGCCAGCACCAGGTCAGTGTAAGGAGGGAAGGAACGGGGGAAGCTGTAGGGACAGTCTCTTGTTATACTGTGTCCTATGGAGAACCAGGGCTGGGGGCCATCCCTGCTTCTTTTGGGTTGCGGGCATTAAAAGAGGAGGCAATACTGCAACTGCAGCACTGAGGATGGAACAAAATAAAGCTCGAGGTCCCCTTTTTGCTTTTAATTAGGGCAGCAGCTAATGGAAAAAAGGGCCTAGGGAAAGCAGCAGGGCAAGTGACCCAGCTTGCATAAGACCCAGAGCAGAATGTGAATTACAGGCTTCTCCGTAAAGCAGGGCAGCTGGGATTATCTTAGTGCTAGGCCAAATTCTAGGGAGCTACAGGAAGGAGATGTGGCTGGTGTGTCTCAGCACCTGGGGCAGGGGTGGTGGCACCAGGGCCACACAGATGCTTGAACGTGGTGAACCAAGGCAGGCACTGCCAGCTGAAAGTGTGGCTTAGGGCTCCTGTTTTGTCTGCAAATTCCCATATTTAAGGTTATTAGCTGCCAGAAGCAGCCGTGTGACGGTGGGCAAGATAGATCATTGTTTGTGCTTGCAAATGCACTGATATGTCAAAGCCCATTGAGGAACTGCATCCCACCTAAAGTTCCAATTCCTACAAACACAGAACAGGCCCTACCATGTGAGCACCTGAAATACAGCAGGCAAGGCAGAGCCCTAACCTCTTTTCTCAGTGGTTACTGAAGAATCCCACAGAAGAACCTCATTGCAGCTGATACCGATCTGTTCGAGCAACCACAGCTGGCTTCAGGGCTGGGAGGTGCTGCTGTAGATAACAGTGGGTGTTGAAGGGCTGAGAGGATCTGGAAACACATTTAAGCCCACAGCAGTAATGCTTATGCTGTTCCACTTGTTGACCTACCTTATCCTGCCTCCTCAGACTTCGTTCCTGTTTCATCAACGCAGCAGAGAGAAGCCAATAAGGTAAGACCTTGTGCTGTGGTGGAAGGCAGAGCCCAGATCTGCGTTACGTACAGCTTGGGAGGTCTCTTCCAGGAGAAGCAGTATCCCAAATGAGAACAAGTGCAGAGGGGTGGGGGCACACCTTGAGCCCGGTCACTGGGAAGCCACACTGCGGTCACTAGGTGCCCAGTGCATTGCTGCATTCACTGCCAGGTCAAACCCAGGGCAGGCAACCAGCCACACGTGCAGCATAGCTTTAGTGGCCTGCTCCAGAAGTATTGAGGACTGCCAGCATTCAGTGAGATGGTTTCTTGAGCTCAGCTGTCACTCAGCAGTCCTATGCCCCAGTTCCTTTCCCTGCCCATAGCCAAGCTCCCCATGCTGTGGGAGCAGGGAGATCCCTGATGCCTCAATTCCCCACCTGCAGGAAACCGAACCGGCCGTCCCCAAGCCCTACGTTCTCAAGGTGCATTACAAATACACAGTCGCCACGCAAGTCAAGCCAGACCTGTCCTACAAGGAGCTCCTGGACCTGGTTTGCGACAAGCTGGAGCTGCAGCCTGAGCACACAATGCTGAGGTGAGAACTGCCTGCTGCAGGAGCTGAGTTTTTGTGGCTGTCCCCTTACCTGTTCCTCCGGTGCCCAGGTACAAGCCTGCAGTTAGCAGAGAGCTGGTGACTCTGAGCACACAGAACCTAGAGGCAGCATGGAACCACAGCAAGGATCGGTGCCTGACGGTGTGGTGCGACTGCACAGAGGTCAGCAGCAGCGACCAGCTCTTCTGCTGGTGCTGGCAAGGGGCTCACTGGCACAGGCTGAAGCCTAAGCAGAGCTTATCTGTCACGTTCTGGTGCAAAGCAGGAGCCACAGGGTGACTTCACCAGCTTCTTTCCTGCCCTAGGGAGAGGGATTCTTACTTGACAGCAAACCAGAGGAGTCGCAGAAGGCAACAGCAGAGACGGGACCAACCCAAGTGGTAGCACAGTACAGTTATGAGGCCACCCAGCCCGAAGACCTGGAGTTTCAGGCTGGAGATGTGATACTTGTTTTATCCAAAGGTAACTGTGCTCCTGCCACTGCAGGAGATGGGAGGGAAAGCATGGGCCTGGCTCCAAGGTGCCAAACACATATCGGCCTGTGCCATAGGATGCTGCTCCTGCAAACTGCAGTCTGCCACCTCCAGGTGGAAAATGGGGCGAGAAGGTTTGCATCGAATGCAAAGGCTTCAGACCAGTAAGAAAACGTCACAGGGACAGCAGGTGGAAGCCAAGGGAAAGGACACACAACCTGCTGTCCTAACAATTGCAAGATGGGAGAGTTTCACTTCAGCTGTCTTCAAGCTCGCTGATCAGTGTATTCTTGCTTCCTTCTGACCCTGCACCATGCCCAGAGCGCTGTCATTCCAATTCCTCTCACTTGGCACCCTTTCCTGGCTGCTTTTCTTTTGAGGTTTTTCTTACCTCATAAACTTTGCTGTCTCTCTCTCTCTCCTGCACTCTTCCTCCCCGCCTCCTGTCACCTCTTCACCAGGCTATTTACCTGCAGATGATCTTAAAATGGGTAACCGTGCTCCTGCACATCCCTAGGGTGACAAAAATGGTGTCAATTTTATCTTGCAGTGAATGAAGACTGGTTGGAAGGACAATGCAATGGCAAGATAGGCATCTTCCCCTCTGCTTTTGTTTGTGATGGTAACACTAAAGACCCAGAGATCTGATTTCAGAAGTGTAAGGAGACATGGACACTGAAAGAAATTAAGAATTCAAATGTTGCAACTAAGAAGTTCCCACATTAATCACTGCATCTGAATAGATGAATAGAATATTATTGCTACATGTATTAAAATCTTCATTTTTGTGTGTGTGTTACCTTTTGTGTTGCTATGTATAAAACACATTAAAAAAAAAGTCACTAGCAATCTCCCTGCTAGGAGTACAGTCAGTCCCAAGGACTGTGCTTACCATCAGGCTTGGTAGCAGCAGCTCTACCCCACTCACCTGCCCTGGGCAGAGCTTCCACAAGGTAAATCAGCCGCTTGCCCAAGGAGGCTGTGGATGCCCCATCCCTGCAGGCATTCAAGGCCAGGCTGGATGTGGCTCTGAGCAGCCTGGTCTGCTGGTTGGAGACCCTGCACATAGCAGGGGGTTGGAACTGGATGAGCATTGTGGTCCTTTTCAACTCGGGCCATGCTGTGGTTCTGTGAAAATCAATGGAAAAGCAGGGAAAAACAGACTGGGGAGCTCGGGAAACTTTGGACCAGGAACTTGCAAAGAGAATCTACTTCCTTAAAACATCACTGCTATCCTCAAGAGCTGAAATAAGAGACACCATGCAGCCTCACCCTGCACCAATCAACACTTATCCTATACAACCCCATTACCTAAATCTCATATTTATTTTAAAAGGAACTTACTCCGGATTTAAAAAAAAAAAAAAAAAAGAAAACAACCTCATGACCTCTCAAAACTGGAGCAGTGCAGGTGCCATCCCGATTTACAGCAGGGCCACAGCAGAAGGCTGTGTGTCCTTCAGCTCCTGCTGCCTGTGCTCTAATCAGATTTAAGCTCTGGAAGCTGCTACCATCCCAGCCTTTTGGTTCCATACATAAAACACATTGTACTGCACAGCACAAAACCACGATCCAATTATTTGCACTGAGCCCAAGCCAGAATCTCTGCAGTTTATTTTTCTTTCAAACTGGAAAAAAAAAAATTAAAGTTTGAACCTTCTTCCAATTTCTCCAGAAAAATAACGTGTTTTTCAAAGCCTGCAGCTGAATTACATGGGGAAATAAACGTAACACACAGACCCGCATGGAGAGAACATGGTTTAATTAAAGGCAAAGCTGATTTCAGCAGCTGCAGTTCTTGCACAGACAGACAAAAAACACAAAAAAAGCTTACGACACAAACCAGTTTCTGTTGGGGTCCCTTCCCTCACTCCCCCGTGCGCCAGAGGGCGGGATGGGAGTCCCAGCCGAGAGCCAGCCGTGTTCCTGACACCGGGTTCTCATGCACAAGTGGAGCAGTGCGTTGGGACCTGGCACTGCCAGGAGTGAGGTGGTGAACCTGGTCAGCTCGCTGAGGTGCAAGAGTCAGCGGCACTTCTAACACTGGAATGTCGCAGCTGCCGGGGGCACGGCTCAATACACAAACTGAGGGGCTGGGATGGGGAAGGGGGAGGGAGGGGGCTTAGTCAGTATTAGCATTGGGTGGAAACTTCACTTTTTGGACTTTTTAAAAGGAAATACATCTTCAAAATGCAACAAAGAACAGTGATGTTGCGAAGGTGGAGAACGTGGGGGAGCTGCTCATGCCCTCAGAAGGGTACTGGGCCTCAGTTTTCCCTTTTTACGTTCTTTGGGGCCGCCCGGACTCCAGTGTCACTTAAGCTCCTGCGTGTGCTTTGCTTTGCAGCTGACTTACAGCCCAGAGATCCTGAATCATCACACAAACCCCTATTGCTAAACACAGCAAACGGACATTGAGATCGCTTCCCTGGGAAACCTAACAAAAATGCTGTCTTTTTCTTTAATGACGTTTCCAGTCTTCCTTCCCCCTAAATAAATAGCAAATAAAACATTTTCTTTTCCCTTCTGCATCTTTTCATATGCGAACAGCACTATGCTTCTTCCGTGCGCGGGTTACACACGCGTGTCCGTGGCACCTCAGATCTCCTTCTAGAACTGGAAGTTGAGGGCTGCTGCTGGGAGGGCGGGGGACGGGTTTCTGCAGAGCTGGTGTATGCCTGTGGGGTTCGTACACTCCACACTGTCCAGGCTGACTGTCGTCTTTACCCAGTCCTGCTGGACTCCTGATTACTTTCTGCAAGATGTTGCACATTGGCGATAAAACTACTAGCATCCAGCAAAGATGGAAGGATGGGGAGAGAAAGAAAAAATGAAAAACACTGAAAGCTTTCTACCTACCTATTAAAATGAGTCAGGCTGTGAATGCACAGAGCAGCCTGCCCTTTGCGGGGCTAGCCACTTTGCTACAGTAAAATGTACAGGAATCAAACATTAATTTAAAACCCCATAGCAGTTAACTTGCTCGTCCAGCAGAGTGCTGCAATGCCCCACGTCACCCATTACAGCTCAAACACCTACTGAGAGGAGGGCATTTCATGCTGGAGTCTCTAACCCACCCGTGGGCCAGCCAAAGCCTTTGAGTGAAAGGTGAAGTGGTGTCAAGTGCCAGACTCTCCTTCATGAAACTCCTTTGCTAGCCCAGGAGATAGAGCCCCACCTTGCCACCAACCACCTCTGACTGGAGCAGCAGCTGGGGCTTTCACTGCTACACACTGACTACAAAGCACATCTGTGTACGGAAGAATTCAGTGTGATCTTACTACTGAGATAGTAATAAAGATGTTTAGGAGTAATTTCAACTACATTCTCAGTCAGCAAAGCAATCATTAATGGATTCCTATTTTATATCCCCAAAGAGAGGAAAAGGATTGAGAAGTTCTCATTAGCTTCTCCCATCTGCCCTTCGTTCTCAGCTTTTGCTTCCCATGTGGCTGGGGACATGCACGATGGAGAAGGTGAGAGGCGGTGATATCGGGTCACTGAGTGAGACAAACAGCAGTTCCTCTCTCCCTCCAGAGGGCCCAGGGATTGGGAGAGTTCCTGATGTTGTTTGCTTGCACTGCAGACGTTTTGTGCACACTCAGTGGGTTGGTGGAGCACTTACGCCCTCCTGACAGCAAGGAACAGAAGAGAGGGCTGCCACCTGCACAGGACTGTGTGGGCCAGTCCTGCAAACCCAACATGCCATGGTTTATGGAGCCTTGGTTTGCAAGGGTTGCCACCTCGTTCTCAATGCGGCGGGTTCATGGCGCCTTGTCCACGTTGCTGCTTCTGCTTCTGCTGCATTAACAGCTGCTCCAGGGCCGAGGGTCCAGGGTGCATCATGGAACTGGACCAGATGGACTAAAAACAAACAGTCAACACTAGCACCTCCTGGTTTGAGGCAGACCTTTCCTTTCAGGTGAAAAAGCAGAAACTGTTCTGTGTTCTCTCTTCCCTTTGCAACTCATACCTGTCCTGTCATGAAAGTTACCCAGACTTCAAGAGAAGGCCTTCTGAAGAGAGGCTCCCCTTGAAGATCACCCTTGCCTCGTGAACGGAAAAATCTATCGCACATTAACAATCTCTAATTTTAGACTGGTCAAAGCAAATGTTATTTCTCCCAGTTCTGCCAGCCTGTTCTTGTTCCACAAAATATTCAAGAACAGCAGAACTGCAGAACTGTGACATCTCTTAGCACTGGTCACACCTCCCACCCTGCTCTGGATCTGCAGGAAAAAACCTTCAAGGTCCCAGTGAACTCGGACGCAGTGCACACTGCCTGTATCCCATAACACCACACCCTTTCCATAGGCAAGCACCCATGCCCGAGCACAGCTTCAGTTCAACACACCTTTAGGCTCTCCATGAGCACAGCTGAGGAGTCCTCCATGGCGGGGCCCTGGGCTGCCCAGGTGCCACTGGGAGCGCTGGACTGGTGCCAGCTGCTCTCTGAGGATGAGGACGTGGCTGGGAGGTAGTCCAGACCAAACCCTCCCATCGCTGAAATGGGGAAGAGAGACAAATTCAAACAAATCTATTGCAAAACAAACGCTGACAGCTGGCTTCTTCCAGGCCTGGAATGCAGCACTTGCCTGGCTTATCTGTTTTCCAGCGGTCTGCGATTCTTCTGTCTCTGTTGTCTGGAGTCCCAATAGGTCCAAAGTTGGAGAAGGGAACAGAATTGTGATTATGGGTTGGAGGGGAGCTTGGCAAGCTGCTGGGGTTGGAGGAGTGAGGAGACTGGCTGGCTGGTGTCGAGTGATCTGATGGTTAGAAGGCAAGAGGAAAAAGGTGAAGATGAGGAGCTTCCTCATTCTGACTTTCTTAGTGCTGCTAACGATTCTGCCATCACCATTTTTTCCAATGCTGAAGGCCTGTTTTTATTCCTTCACATGAGTGTAATGCAAATTCCTAAATTCTAAGTGGAAATGTTTGTGCATATAAAAAAAAACAGTATGACTGTTTAATGCATACGTGCACTTAGAAAAACAAAAAACAACCTCAAGAGGGTTGGCTAACAGATTAAGCTTTCCCCAAGTTTCTTGGGCACCTTTTCTCAAACCAAAGCAATAAAAATCCTATCTCCAAGCTCCACAAGCCAATATAAAATAACTTTAGATCTCAAGGAGCTTTAAGTTCACAACTCAAATTTGAAAGTTTCACATTTCTGTGAATCTGAAAGTAATTCAGACCAGAACCAAACACCGAGCAAAGGAGGAGGCTGACATGGGAGTGTGTGCAGGCAGAGTGCTACCTAAAGAGAACCAGCAGAGCAGGGCACCAGGAAGCTACGTGATCTCAAATGAGGTGAAGTGAAAGCTTAAAAGCTGTAACCATGTCCTGCCATTACCCCTACTAGCATTAAGGCCCTCTGCAGCTCCCTCCATTTCATCTACAGCAGTCACTTCTGGTTTGTTGCAAAAGTTTCACTATGACCAAGCAACATCTGCAGGGGACAAGTTATTTAAAATCCTCTCATTTGTTAGACTCAGCTGACTCCTTCCTTCCTCTCACACTCTGCTGGATTTTTAGTGAGGGTAAAGCCATGACAATTCTAATGTATTTATGCCCTTCAGAAAATGGTTAAAGAAAATGCTAGTTTGCTTTGTAGGCTGCTTCAAAAAAAGAACTGT